GGCTTCGCCCGCGAACCCGTGGGATAAAAACTGGCCTAAGTGTTATTCTAGAGTCTAGACCATAGTTTAGTCGCGGAGAACCTAACGGGTTACCGGTGCTCCGGCTCGACGTGCAGGAGTGGGAACGGGGTGGTTTTAGTCAGTAAGAGTCTGACACTCCCTCTCGTCTCACCCAGGCGGGAGCAGTCATTCGATGATTTTCCCCCCTTAAAAAAAAGACCATAGTCTATCCCTGTTCCTAATTTCATCTCGATCCCTTCAGCCGTTTCGACGTGAAAGAGTAACAAACACACATACATCTGCACAAAGTTTCACACTTATAATATTGGTAGGATAAACACGACAATGAATCTGATTATGAACCTAAAAATGCTAAAGTCCCAGTCATCATCATTCAAGGTTTTTATACGAATTTGTGGGATCAAAGTTCAATGGAGATTTACTTGGCATTAAGATCAACATACACACAACTTATAAGTATTTAATTTAACTGTAACTTATATCTTATAAGATTTTTAAGACATTTAATTTAAGAACACCTGGCTATTTGTTAAATTTGGGGCCGATTTTTAAATCAGTTTGTTCTTAACTGCAGAATAAAATTGACATATTATGACAGTTTTTAGTATTGAAGAATTGTTGTTTGGGGTCTGGGTGTCATTGTGTATGTGAACTTGTATGTTTGTAAACGCACCCACGACACAGGAGAAAATCCTAAGGTGGGGCAATGTTTTTTATAAAAAAAAATTGCCAAGTATTCAAAGGTATTCCTCAGTTAAAATTTATCGATAACTTTATATATATAAGTTAACTCAATTTAGTTCTTAGTCATTTAAAAAATATATTTATGTGTTAAATTAACTACCATGGAAACTTGTTCACACACACGCTGTAATTTGTATTTATCATTATTACATAATTGATTTTAAATTAATATACATTTTTTCTCGTACTTATTATTATAATTTATGCATATTTTTATTGATGGCAAACTTAAACTTAGAAGATTTTATTGATCAATTGACTTTATTGATTAAATTCCATGTATTTTTTTTTATATTCTCTATAATTACATTTTGAAATACCTACTATATTACTTCAAAATAATATAAAAATCGTGTAACCTAGTGTTGTTTTTCTCACAAACAACTTAAAAATCTAAATTAATAGCCACTCCAATTATATATTTTTGCCATTTATTAAATGTATACTGTATATAATGATGTCAAGTCACGCAACAAAGAGTTGTCGAGCAATCGTAATACCACATAATACTAGCGGTTTTTGCTATATTTTTTTTTGTATACCTATATGTTATTTTTATATCAATCTTTTGACTGAATGTCGTGTGTTTTTCATTAATAATGTCAATCGGGTTAATACAACTTCTTATGCATATAACGTATTGTGTTTATTGTTTGAACTTTATACAGCATGTTTATTTTTTGTACCGTAAATTATAGTGCCGAAAAATTTTGCTATGGCAAATTAAAAAAAAAAATGTTTTTTTTTTTTAAGTAAATATACTAAGAGTTGTGTTGTTTCTATGTCATATTTATATTATATAGCAATATATATATTATGTTTGTGTACACTTAGGATATTATCGCTTACGGAAATAATTGTGTTTCATACCTATGCTGCGTATCAACAATAATAATAACAGTTACTGTTGATTAGTTTGTGAGTTGTAATTTAATAATATGTTAAAGGTATAAAGTGTAGAATTGTACAATGTTAAGTGTGATTGAAAATACTCAATAAGTTCTACTTCAGTGTAGGCGTAGGTCACGCATTGTATGACGTAAAATTTTGTAATGGTGAGTCCTATATAGTCCTCCAAATCCAAGGGATTATTTTGTTTACGGCCTAAGAATAACGTTACTCAGGTCAGGGTGCTTACTCTTGAAACCAATCTCAATTTCAATGCAATTTCAATCCAATAAAATCTCAATAATTATACAATATCAACACTATATAACCACCGTCGTAGGTGTTAAAATAGCATTCAGAGTACGGAATATAGAGCCAAATTCAATACTATTACCATTTTGTTCATTCAATATCCACGCAATACGGATGCAATGGGCGCTAGTGTTGCAACTCAAGAGTACGACATTTCACAATACTAATGTCGATTGATCGGTATTGGATTCAAGAGTATGCCCCCAGGATACTCTGAAAATAAAATAAATATGCTTAAAGAAGAACGTATATAAATAATTATCACGTACTTAGAATTAGAATTGAAACTCGTAAAAGGAACATAAATGAAAATATTAAAACGACTGAGAGTATATAATTTTATATTAATACCACGCTCCTATTTAACGTCGCAAAACTATAAACAATAGGCCAAACGATAATATTTTCCATAGAACGAGTTTTTATTTGAAGTGTATGTAAACAAATAAGTTGTTGCGCAGGAGTATCGAGAAACTTATTTACTACAGATTATCTTAAAAGCATATTAATTACGTTTAATTATTCGTTATATTTTGCTTTCATATATATATATAAAAAAAAAAAAAAAAAACTGTCAAACACCAAGCGGTCACCGGTGACCGCAACCTATTGTTCTATAATTGTGTCTACAAAACCGGTACTCGACGAGTTAAAACAACAGCCTGTAAGTATGTGAATAAAATAAATTAACATACGATAGTAACTTCGGTTTCTGCCTTCTGGATGCGCATTCTGTTTAGTTAATTATTTTGATTCAATAGTGACATACGGACATACGTGAAGTTCTTATATGGAAATGTTATAACACATCTTTCTAGTTCAGGTATTTATAACCGTTAACTACATTACCTTTAAAATTTCAATAATTTGACATTAGATATTTTTTTCATGACCGTGACATAAAAGTAATAATTGTCATAGTAATTTCAATTTTACTTTATCAAATCATCATGATTCTAAGCCCCCTGCCTTACATTTATTTAAATATATGCAATCGTAGTGATGTGCACTACAGTGGAATAGATGATATCGTTTCCTAAAAAAAAATGTAATGCGCGATGTTTTTGTTTTAAATTTCGAATTCTATATTTGTAAACTTAAAAACATTTATGGTAATGCAATGATGGCACAAATAACCGGTCACATTCCTGACTTGCTCTTAAATACCTTCTGCGTTTAAGGTCAAAACATTTTGCAGATGAAAAGACCATTTAAATAGTACCTGTAATGTGCAGGTTAAATCTGCAAGTAAGTACAGTTTTAAGGTACAGTTATCTTAAATTTAAATTGTTCAACACTTATTCACTAGTGCTTAGTGTATTTGACGATGATTAATGTTCCTGATGTCATGTTCCTGTTACTAATTCATTTACCATAACCAATTTTAATCTATGGATCGATCTAAGTTTTTAATACAAAGTCCGTAAAACTGATAATAATAAAAATCGATCTTATTAATTGATAGTTTTGGATTGAAAGACCAAGTGTGGTCCTTCTGTACATTCGAACACTGAATATAATTGCTGCATTTATAGATATTCTTCTAAAACAAGAGTTGAGCCTACGTAACCATTATTGGCGCCAAAGTAAAAAAGAAATTAGTGCCGTTGTTGAGACCTAATGATGCACATTGTGCAATTATTTTTGATTTATTTACACTTACATACAGACTTATAATTTAAATCAACACATTTTTTTTAATAAATAACGTTGCGCCACATTAGGGTTTTCTCGTGTGTCGTAGGTGCGTTTACAAACATACAAGTTCACATACACATGACACCCAGACCAGAAACAACAATTTGTGGATAACACAAAGTGTTGTTCCGTGCGGGAATCGAACCCGCTGCACGTTGCACGGCAGCCGGTTGGCCAGCCACCGCAGTGCAGTCATATTAACACCTACATACAGAATTGCATAGTAAAAGACTTATCTATAATTTGAATCAACACAAAATAATTGTCGTCATCGACATAAATTACTAAAAATACCTAGTGTTGTTGAATATTCAATGTTTAAAAAAATGCATAAACAGCAATGGCTAGACAATAAAGGTCGTGTTTACAATACAGTCGTGGTTGAATACTCTGTCACGTTTACTTCACGTGTGATTTTTAACGCGTCACAATTTTATTAAGTAGGTACTTAACTATTTATGAACACACGGCTACACATCGAGCTTTACATAACCAGTATAAACTGAACGTTAAATGTGCGGAAAGATGATGCGACGCGACACCAGGATAAACTGGTTTTGTATAGATTGATGTGTGGCCGTTTGTACAATATTAGCTGCTTACATAATATTGTATAATTTAACACTTTTATTGGTACTTCCCCAATTCGTCCGTATCAGGTGTTTGAACAAAATATTACACATTTTTCTTTCTTAATTTGATTATTTATCTTTTAGTTTTTTTTCGTGGTCTACGGTCTGTTACATTTTATTTTTTTGGAGTCCAATTTATGATGAATTTATCATCTTTAGACAAATGCGATGACCTTCAATTTTAATAAAAATAATTTACTATTTAGAACGACTAATTCTAAGAAATAGTCGTAAGTAAACCAAAAAGATCGTCAAGGAATGAACATACCCGAAACGAACGCAATACCTATTATATTTAAGGCAATGAAATATTTAAACGACTCAGAAATAACACTATACAATGTAACACCCACTTTTACTATTTATGTTATGAGTCCCATATAATAGGGGATGAGCCTATTGCCACACACAATTTCAGACTCCGTGCTACTATTGATTTTTTTAAACACAATAATACTTTGCCCGAACCAGGAATCGAACCCGATACACCTTGCCTGGTAATCGCACATGCGAGCACTCGTCCAACGAGGCAGTCATAAAACTAAAACTAAACAGATTCTTAAACCCGTTAATAAAACACATCCAGAATATTCTAGCTATATATGTAAATTGCATTGTAATTAGAATACCCAGGTGTAGACATTGGTATTACAATATAAATAGTTACCTATATAACGAATGTTAATAGTCTGTTTTGTATTTCAGACGGACAAGGTCCCTGAACGCACCCTCGCCGATACAGCAGTTTGGACCATGCGGCAGAATAATGAAAAATTCGGCTATGGTTATGTAAGTATTACCCTAATTACTTATTTTCTATTTAATGGCATAAGCTGGTAAACGAGCAGACGTATCACCTGATGGTAAGCATTCGGTGCCTCCCATGGACACCCGAAACACCAGAGGCGTTACAAGTGCGTTACCGGCCTTTTGGGGATTAGGAATTTGAGGATTGTTGGGGGCTTACAATTACTATTGTTTTATTTCGTCACCACTAAACATAATATCCTGAGTTGAGACTTCAGACCCGAGTGACAAAGAATTGAATGTAACAAAACAGACATGTAATGTATACCAATTTTAACGCCCTTCCTCTCTCCTACCAATTTTAAATGTTGCTGTGCCCGACAAGGTCCATAATTGTTACTATTGTATTTTCTAACCACCTGTATATGTACATTATGGATGCAATAAAACTTGATTACTTGATTACCAAGTTTGGGCTCCACAACTTCTTACTTCAACTAAGCACAATTAAAAAAACTATCGGAATTAGTAATTAGTGCTACGTTACCCGAAGTCAGTGTCTCGGAATTCAGAACTCAGAACTCGGAATGTTTGCGGGACGTGTCCCTACAAACTTAATAATGTAAAGTAAAATTCGAAAAAGAGGAAAAAGCCGTGCGGATCACATTATTACCAACTTATAATATGTAAAATTTTCATGAAGCCATGAAAACCCAATTGGGTACTTGCCTTAATCAAAAATAAATTATTTCGACTTTTCAATACAATAAAATATTAAACAATAATCACACTGTCATTAATTGATTTTATGACCAACTTGATTTTAGTATATTTCCAGGATTTTTTAAATAAATAAGTATGCTGTTTGACGCTAAAAAAACGTGACGTCATAATACACAATTTCGTACAAAATTCATAGAGAACTGTCGTTTTTGACAGTTCTAAAAAACTAATGAATTAGACTAGTTGGCGAGTACCCAAAATGTACTTAGTTAATGTGAGAAAATGTTACATAATCTTTACACAGATCGAAAAAAAAAACTAGGTGTACTAAACCAATAGATACCTAACAATTGAAGCTAGACTGTTGTATTTTTTGTCGCTTCACGATTTTTTCTATACACAATCAGTTAGCATTTGTATAACGGCCTTAACATTCATTAAGACGTTTATTTTTAGTTACCTTCGCAAGAAATTGTTTATTATTTATAACTTACTGTGAAACAAACATTATAATTCTAAGTAAATCAATCAAGGTCAGTCTTACATACTACATATACTACTACTTACTACATATCTTAAACTAATCTTATATACTTATAACATAACATCACGCCTTTTATACCCGAAGGGGTAGGCAGAGGTGTACGTTATGCCACTGTACAATGTAACACCCATTTTTCACTATTTATGTTATGAGTCCCATGTAATAGGGGGTGAGCATATTGCCATATACCGGGCACAATTCCAGACTCCGTGCTGCTACTGAGATTTTTTTTTTAAAAACCCAGATATACTTATACTTACTATATTATAAAGCTAAAGAGTTTGTTTGTTTGTTTGTTTGTTTGAACGCGCTAAACTCAGGGACTACAGGTCTGATTTGAAAAATTATTTTTGTGTTGGATAGTCCATTTATCTAGGAAAGGTATAGGCTATTAAACATTACGCTATGATCATTAGGCACTTTAACATGTAATGTACTTATTGACACAATAAACTATTTGTATTTGTATTGTATTGTACCTCTATATTAGGCGCCGAACAGAGCGAATGAAACCGCGCGGAAACAGAAGTAGCTAGTAACGTATAAGTATTAACGATATGCCAGTAGTTTACAGAACAATAAATTCAATCGTGTTAGTTCTTTGACAGGATTTATCTATATGAGAATTACACAGAAAATCTGTATTTCAAGACTTACAAATAATGTAATTACTATGTCTAATGCCAACTCTAGAGAATGACATTGGGTCGCGCAAAATATTACTTATTTTTCTACAATTTCCAGTAATAGGGCCTTGATCTAAATTTGTGATAAGCTAATGGATTAACCACAATGCCCCATAAACAAATATAGTGTCGGTGCATTATAAATTATAATACAACGGTTTCTATAACTAGTTGATAACTACCTATTCAAGAAATAATGAGAAATCTAAATGTTATGTTTATCCAGATTTCTAAGGCTTTTCTTGCTGTTGATTACAGGCAAATCCAGGACCCGGCATCGCAGCGGCTGACGTGGTACAAACCGCCGCTGACGGTTCTGGTCATCAAGAAGGTCCATGATGCCACCATCCTGGCGCCCTTTGTGCAACTTGTACATTGGCTCGTTCATGTAAGTTACACTTGTAATACTACGTCAATAGAGCATCTAATCCTCTATCCTATGTAATAACTAATAAAGGACTATTATCTACAGTAATCTAGTAAAAAAAAATTGGTCCTTTTTTCACCGGCTCCTTTTACCAGAGCGCGATCCCGCTCAGAAATCCCCATTTATAGGACACCGTCTTATAAAAGGAGGTCACAGAAAATGGTCCTAGGTTCCAAAAATCGGAAATTGTATTTTGTTTTCTTAGACCGTGGTCCTTTGACACCTACAAGCTATTGGCATGGGCATATTAACTCGTCGAGTACCGTCATTATAGACACAATTATAGCAATAGGTTGCGGTCACCGGTGACCGCTTGGTGTATCACAGTTTAAATTGGTGTTTGACCATGAAATTCAAGATTTAATACTAATACTCGCAAGTAATTTCCATTCCCATATATCTCCAAGCAGTCACCGGTGACCGCTCTCCACTAACTACATTATAGACCTTATTTCCAATGTTTAGAGACTACTTTTGTATTAACAAATTTAGGGAATGATTTTCAACAATTTTCAACGGGTTAAAAAGTGAATTAGCAAATTTATCGTATATTCGATATGCAGCTAGTGTCTATAAGGTCTAAAGTCCTAAAATTACTTGTCATAGTGACTGACTTAATATGAACTCTGCGTGAGTCTAACGTGACGAATGACGATTTAATGTCTATATTTATTATTTTGATACATTGAAGCGGTCGTTAATTAGACTCGAGATAAGGACCAATGATAGTTCATTGATTAATACTTATCCATCAATTAACCTATGATACAAAATGTAACTACAGCTTCTGATGGAGGTACACAGATCTACAATTGACCTAGTCTAGTACTAACTGGATGAGATGAATTATTTCCTTCCGATATTTTAAATCTGGAGGTTTTACATTGATTGGTACTATGTGAAAAATATAATTACAGGTGATACAATTTTTTAACAAAGCCAATACAATAAGTTACGACTCGGTACTATTATTCAATCTGTACCTTTTATGAGACGGAAAAGTTTCTATGTAATAGTCATACTATTATATATCAACAACATTCAGAACAGAACATTAACATAAACATTTCCTTTTAGCTAGAAAGAACAGTAATCCAACAATACTTAGAATTCCAAAAAAAACAATTGGCTCATCCAGCATAGCAGATCCTAATTCAACGTAAGGTGATTCAACTGTGGCCTAATTATAGTTCATACGCCAAAAGTTCGCGTACATTGACCCAGGCAATGTGTATGTGCAGATTTGTAGATCAATACCAATTGATCAGTGATTGCACTTATAGCTTAATGACCGATTTTTAATTCAAAACCTCTATATTGATGTGGTTTTCAATAGAACGAATGTCAAAAAATATTCAATATGGGTCATGCATTATTCTTTTCAGTTCGGTTCGGTCATTAATTTACTTTCTTTGTAATGCACTAAAAGTAAGTTATATATAAATGTTTAAAAAACACAATAATAGATTAGTCGTGACAAAAATAAAAATATGTTTATTGACAAATAGCTTCACGTTACATATTTATATGGCCGCACTAGGATTCCCTGTGTCGTGAGGCCCAGCTAAACATTATTATATAAAAGAAAAACAAAATGAAAAGAGGAATAAAAAACAATCGTGATTCAATAGCATTCAGAGTACAGAATATAACGACTAAACTCAATACCATTTAGTTCATTAGATATCCAAGCAATACGGATGCAATGGGCGCTAGTGTTCCAACTCAAGTCAAGGGTACGAAATTTCACAATACCAATGTCGATCTATCGGAATTGGATTCAAGAGTAAGCCTCCTGGTGTGTGTGTTTTAACTTCTAAGTATACCACCTACTTCAGAAAAAAACCTGTAATATTACATTGTAATATTACTTTCTTCCACGTTATTAGTTAGTATCTCTCATTGAATCTTCCGTCACGCTATTTTCCCTGATGCAACATGCGGAACTTGTGTTGTCACGCAGATATTAATATGTACCTGTGTATTATGTTTCTACATAGCGTTCACATTAATACTTAAATTATTTTGTCAATAGAGTAACAAAAGAAGTATATAGAGCGGATATCAATGGGACCGTCGGTAGAGGGCACCCTAGACGGAAATAAACTGTCACGGATAACCTAACGGGTTACCGGGGCTCCAGCTCGAAGTGCAGGAGAAAAAAGGGGGTGGTTTTTAGTCAGTAAGAGTCTTACCCTCCCTCCTCATGATTTTCCGTCTAAAAAACGGACATAAACTGACCAGATTGGCGATATATTAATAAAGAGTTAATATATCGCCAGCGATAAATTAAAACTACCCTTAACCGACGAGCATGCATGAAAAGATTGGTGACTGTTGATGAAGCGAAATAGGTAGCAATTGGCGTTCCATAGTCTCTGCCCTGCCTACCCCATGGGAGACAGGCGTGAAGTTATGTATGGCTGTATGCATTTTGTCATTATTACAAGGATTTAAAAAAGCATAAATGTATACCGTAACATTACCATGTTACGCCATTTTATCATGATTTGGTTCATTATTTAAAAATAAAATTATAACGCATTTGCTATGCAAAAACATTTTTTTTTATAGGAAACATACACAATCTGTCGCAGTTCCTACCACATTTTCTATCGATTTTTTTAATAGTTGAACTCGACCTACATATAATATTCATAGTGAGTCAACCAACGTTGGTAGGGGTGGCCGCGTCATATTTAGCCCACGGCATACAATTATATACTAAAATAAACCCTTCCAATGACCGCTAGTCTATCGTACGGTGACCATTATTGATCCAAGTTCATACAATGTTAATGAAGGCTGACCATATAAGTTATTAAAGTGCTCATTGTAGAACATTGAGTAATTTTAATCAAACCCAAGGATGATGACAAAAAGGCGAACGTAATGTCACTTACTTACAAATGATTGACGCACCAAATAATAATAATAATTTTTACGTGTAAAAATTACATTGTTTCGGCAGGTGCCATAGTCATCCATAGTTCCCAATTTACCAGTCCACAGCAACCCATCCATAACCCTACCTTTTTTTTCCATTATTCACAATAGTCCTACACTAACCGGGGACTGTCCTTGGGTGCATTTCCATAGTGCATACAGGGATAGTCGCCGGTTTGTGTTTCCATTACATTTAGATTAAAGTTGTCTAAAGGGCCTCTGCGCAGTTGGCTTCGGCCCCAAATGACTGGGACCCTGTGGTCCCGTGAATGGTAAAGACATAGAGGTATAATAATAATAAATAAGCTTTATTGTACACCAAGCAAGCAATTAAACAGTTCGGAAATTATAAAGAATAAAGAGGGTACAAGGGCGGCCTTATCGCTAAAAGCTATATCTACCAGGCAACCTTTACAACCACGACCACCTAAATAACAGTGGTGTATTTATATGTGCGTGTACTTGCAACACCGTACTAAATGAAGTGTAATGACGGGCCATGTGACGCGACAGATGTCCTTCGTGTCAATGTGTGAGTGAGTATTCTGCGTGTAAGTCTATAGTAGCCAGGTGCCACAGTCGTTGTTTCATGAGACTATGTCCGCCTTTTTTCAACGTCCTCGTTGAAACCAAACACAAGTTATCTTTATTTAAGTATATTTTTAAAGAAAGAAATAGCTAATTTATTTATTTATTTAATATACAATACACATTTAATAACAAACGTTTTTATGTACATACGATGCAACATAATCTCTTTCGAGATTTTCTGTGCATCGGAAGCTGCCTTCTCACTTATCTCGTAACTAGCTACTTCCGCGCGGTTTCACTCGCTCTGCTCAGCGCCTATTATAATCTTAGCGTGCTATTTCTATTTTTTTTAAGCAATGTTTGTATTTGTATTTATAGAAATTAACTATGTATGTCTTGTTGTAAAGGAGCGGAGTTTCCTAACACAGGCATATCTTGCTTAAAAGGAGGCTCCAATCACAATTTATAGGTTCCGTAATCTGTTTTTGCAAATAAACGATTTTTATTATTTTGTTTCTTTCCTCGATAAATAGGCGCGTTTCGGAGATTAGCGCATTCAAACAAACAATAAAAAAAACAAACTCTTCCGCTTTATAATATTAGTATAGATTTAACACAATAGGTACATCTAATTACTTATTAACATCTATAAAGAACAAATTGCATCCATGGCCGCAATCGGTACAATATTCAATGGTTGGTGCATTGCGGTGACGTCGCGTCATAATTTGCTTAATTATTTTGGTTTTATGTCAACTCACAACCGTTGAGAAGTTGTCCCTTCAATCTTGTGCTCCTCTACATAAGATGCTAGCTACGTCGGCGCGGTTGCATCCGCTCTGCTCTGAAACCTGGGCTTATAATTTCTAATTATAAGTTTGTAATCGCCAACCCGCATTGAGCAAGCGTTGTGATTAATGCTCAAACCTTCTCCGTGTGAGAAGAGGCTTCGCTCAGGACTGGATATTGATGATGATGATGATGGTATTGTAGGACTTATACGATCAATAAGAGTCGGGCAGAGCGGGTAATACCGCCAAAGAGTAGTAGCTAGTATGACAATAATCAATTATCAAATAGATGAGCTCGTGATTATCCGACGCAAATAGAGACATCAATAACATAAAGATAACGTATAAGAATTAACATAATTCCAATAAAACATTAAACAACTTTAGTAGCATGTGATAATGAATTATGTATTTGTGGAAATTAGTTTTTGGTCGTTCGCCAATTACGCACTTACATATATTATATGTAGGTACCTATATAGAGGTAATATCATTTTAATTCCTACAGACATTCGAACATCACAAGTCTGGTATGATAGAGGTAGAATGTTTGTGTTTACCTAATAAACACGTGTATTTATTTTTGTACAGATATGGTATAAATTTGAGCTCTGCCATTACGTAGTTTCCAAGTAACTGAGACTCACGGTCGACACAAAATCTCATTCTAGTTTTAAAATCCATTTTTTCCATCACACGCATATCTTGATAATTGTACCTTAAGCAAAAATAAATTATTATGTCTGATCAATACAATAAAATATTGAAACATAATCACACTTTCATTAATTGATTTCATGACCAACTTAATTTTAGTATTCTTCCAGCAAATTAAAAAAAATAAGTATGCTGTTTGAAGCTAAAAACCGCGACGTCACAATACACAATCTCGTACAAAATTCATAGAAAACTGTCATTTTTGCCAATTCGAAAAAAGTATTGAATATGACTAGTTGGCAAGTACCGACCCAATTGCATCTAGTGTACTTAGGCTACGCTGACTGCTTATCCTCAGACAGGATGTAGGACAACAATGCTACGACGGCAAACGGTGAAGGAAAACATCGTGAGGAAACCTGAGCTTTAGAAGTTTGAAACCGCCAACCCGCATTGAACAAGCGTGATGAATATTCATGCTTAAACTTTCTCTGTGTGAGAAGGCGCCTTTAGTCAGCAGTGGCCATTTATGGGCATATTTATTATTTTTTTAATAATAATGCTACGATAAAGAATGTGCTCCAACTTTATGCTTGCTTGTCTCTTGGGAATTATTAAATGTTATTTGACAAATGGCTTAACAAACATGTATCATTAATTAATTCCAGGACAAAAGCATGGTGGTCTTCGTGGAAGCGGCAGTACTTGATGACAGGTTACTGGCCGAGTATGGAGACTTCACGTCAGTCAAGGAGCGCCTGATGACCTTCAGAGCTAGTACAGATGACCTCACGGACAAGATTGACTTCATCATCTGTTTGGGAGGAGACGGCACGCTGTTACATGCTAGTTCATTGTTCCAGGTTTGTACAAGAAATCAATTGTTATGGGATTAATAGACAAAGGTATAAGCCGAAATTTGACCGATTTCAAGGTTATTATGTGATTTATAGAGAAAAGCCAGTTGGTCAAAATATTCCGAAGTGAGGATATTCTTTATTAGATTTTCAGTTTAATATCTAAAGTAATAAGGTTTAAAAAATTGGTTAAGATATTCCGAAATGAAGATATTCTTTATTAGATATTCAGTTTTATTTCTAAAGTAATAATTAAAATTGAAAAAGAGCGGTATCAGATTAGAATTGCTTGTGCTGATGCTGGTGTCTCCGAACTATGTTGTGTTCTTTAAAGATTTAATAACGAAAATACTTTTTGCATATTTTAGTGTTTTCTAAGAATGGATTGAGGTTATTACCTCACCTGTTATTACCTTTTAGTACAGGAACTCATGTTAATGTACCTATTTCCAGCAATCAGTACCTCCTGTGATGGCATTCCACTTGGGCTCTCTAGGCTTCCTCACGCCGTTTGAGTTCAACAACTTCCAGGACCAAGTCATGAACGTTCTAGAAGGTAAGACATATCCAAAAGGTAGAATTAACGCTACACAACAATGCCTCAAGCCAAGTCCTGAGTTACTGCGGATCGCGCAAGCGGAATCCGACACGCACGAAATTCAGGGCTCAGCTTTAGAGTTTAAATCGCGAGATTCTATTCTCTGGATCCCGGAATGCTATCAGACCTTTTTCCGGAATCCCGGAATGCTATCAGACCAAAAATTAACATCACCAAACCGCTACACGTTTGACAGAGACCAGATAACAGCACTCTGAGATCTACCTAAACGTCTAAAACTTATCTCCAACGATCTTATTTGGAGGAGGTCCGTATTTCAGCAGTGTATGTTATAGTTATGTTTTCGGCTTACTCACGTAATAATAGCAGCGCGACAGTCGCCGCGTCGCGGGTCGCGAAATGCTGCTCAAGAATATGAGCCTCTAGCATGACTTGAAACTAGTCGAGTTCCTCGTCAAATTATTGCGTGAGTAAGACGAAAACATTATAAATTATTATGATGTGTACATCATACTAATTTAATATTACATAATTTAAAATAACAATCACCAAAATTCACATACTCGAATCTCAACTTACAGGCCACGCAGCGTTAACGCTACGGTCACGTCTCCAATGCGTAGTGTTACGCAAAAGTAGGGACGACAAAGATGGCAAGGAGAAGAAGAAGCCGACCACCATACTGGTGCTGAACGAGGTGGTGGTGGACCGAGGACCTTCGCCTTATCTCTCCAATATCGATCTATTCCTGGATGGGAAGCATATTACCTCCGTGCAGGGAGATGGTAAGAGAAATGAAGAAATTGTAACCTAAAATACTATTCATTTTATAATCATTGTAAAAGATCCTCTGGCCTGCCTCGTTTGCCGAGTGTTCGCAAGTGCGACTGCCGGGTAAAGGGTCTCGGATTCTATTCACGGATCGGGCAAAGTACTACTGGGATTTTTCAAAAAATCTAAGTAGCAGCACGGAGTCTAAAGATGTGCCCGGTATATGGCAATAGGCTCACCCCCTATTACATGGGACTCATATTCGTGTGACCTATTCGGCGCCGTCTATTCGTGTGACCTAGTCATTAAGTACTTAATTGAGTAATTATTTTGTTTGTAATGTATGTATAGTATTTATAAATCTTTAATGTATTAGTTTATAGTATTCGATATGGGCCTGTGATGCCTGAAATAAATAAATAAATAAATAAATAAAATAAAATAACATAAAATAGTGAAAAGTGGGTGTTACATTATACAGTGGCATTAAGTACTGTAATGTGCACCTCTGCCTACCCCTTCGGGGATAAAAGGCGTGAAGTTATGTATGTAAAAGACCCAACTATAACCAGAAAAATCCCACTTACTTAACTCCCACTTCATCTTACCTTCAAACTATACTAATCGGGGTCCGTGGCAAATTCATCGGTTGGACTCCCGTTCCCAGTGTAAACAGAAGTTCAAATAAATACCTCTGAATGGGAGCTCTGTCCAGCTGGAGGCCCGTGGCATTTCACTCACTTGCCGCCCCGTAGTTACGCCACTGTTTATTATTATTTTTATTGAACTAAGTAGTTTATATCGACTCAAATTCCATCTTCAACTCCTAGTAATCTACTATTTATTATAAGTTGAAAGTTATTAAAAAAATATATTGAATACCTATGGTTGACTGTCAGAGAATGCCTTAAGGCATTATTAAGTCAGCCATTCACTATTATCTTTTGTGATAAAGAAATAAATACCTTCTTTAATAAGTCCTATTTATAAATAATTTCCAGGTCTAATAGTATCAACGCCGACGGGTAGTACAGCGTACGCAGTAGCGGCGGGGGCGAGTATGATCCACCCGTCAGTGCCCGCTATAATGGTGACACCAATCTGCCCCCACTCACTGTCCTTCAGGCCTATCGTGGTCCCCGCTGGAGTGGAGCTCAAGGTAATCATCATATTGTACTATAATTATCGTAATATACACTCGTTAGCCTGTCTGTCTCGTTGTCGTCGTAAACTACCTCGTTGGTTTACCCGGCAGTCGCACTTGCGACCTCGAGTGGTCGCAAGTGCGACTGTCGGGGCAAGGGGTCTCGGGTTCGATTCCCGGGTCGGGCAAAGTATTACTGGGTTTTTAAAAATCTCAGTGGTAGCACGGAGTCTGGAAACGTGCCCGGTATATTATTATGGCAATAGGCTCACCCCCTATTACATGGGACTCATAACATAAATATTGAAAAGTGGGTGTTACATTGTACAGTGGCATTAAGTGCCGAAATGTGCACCTCTGCCTACCCCTTCGGGGATAAAAAGGCGTGATGTTATTATCGTAATATACACTGAATAGAATAGAATAGACTATACGTTTATTTCTCTAGTTAAATAAATATAACATCATCACTTAAAAAATAAAATTGTTACAAGTGCATTTGATATTTATTTTTGGCGCATTTTGTCCGGGGAGGAACCTTTTGTAGCCTAATGCCGAATTCTTTTCACACAATTTTATACATAACGATTCTGAGAAGTACTGGGTTTAACCTACCTAGTTTCACAAATTTGTCACCCTTATTATACTATTGCCAAATCACTATTTTATACACTGTCTCTACGATATTGTTATTATTTATAGTTCTCCCCAACTAAAAATTCGCCAACATTTTAGATCGCACTGTCTCCAGAGGCGAGAAACGCCATGTGGGTTTCGTTCGACGGTCGCAACCGACAGGCGTTGCAACATGGAGATAGGTACCGGGATCTCTGCCTACCTCCGTACGCTATGCACGCCGCTATGCTTAGATATCGCATGTTCATGTATATAGAACTGTTTTGTTTTGTACTTAGATGTAATTTATTTGACATAATTTCGTGTTGATAGTAATTTGTTGTGGGGATCAAAAGGCTAAGTGTACGGTTTAAAAAAAAGTGTAAGTACCAAAACAGTTGGTGTTGTCAGCAGAAAAAAGTAATGGGGGTCTTAGAAGTTTCGTGTAACGTCTATTATGCTAAAAATTCTAAAATCTAACAAAATTGTATGTGTTTTAATACTCAAACACCCGGTCTTACTAGCGCATTCACTAGACTAAATTATCTACTAACAGTAAGTAGGTATTTCAAAGGTTATGTTAGACAATTATACCGATCAAAATGGCGAAATCTAAACTGAAATTAGTTAGGAACCCCTCTAAGTACATTATGTTCTATCATTCTAATAGGGTTATTTTAGTAGTAGCAAATTGAGCTGAGGTGGTCGGGCTTGTTTCAGATAATGCCCACCCTAGAAGCGCGTAGTGCGGCTAGTGTGTCGTTCGACGGGAGGTCCCAGGTCACCCTCAGGCCGGGCGATAGGTAAACGGACATAAGCACTCATCATAACTACATTATAGTCCTGGAGACGGCTACATATTATGTCAAAAGAGGCCTAATAATGTACAAATAAAAAAAATGAGATCTGATTTATTTGCATCTTTTGTTTTCTGTTTGGTTTAATAAACCTTGGCTTTAGTCCAATTTCATTGTCTATACTTAATAAATCTAGATTCATTTTGTAATTCCAATATAATAATTATTATAATTATTATAATTGTGGATATACAAACAACCTTTTAAATGATGAAACAATAATATGATCACACATGTTGTTATTTTCGAAGTACTGTACCTAACAATTGCTTGCTTTTACACAAAGCAAACTATGTTAGAAATTTAAAAAATATATATTTCCAATTTTAAAAATTCTATTGTCTCCTTTTACCATATTCAGAATTTAAAATGATGCCGTCTCCTCACATTCGACCTCCATAATCCGAAAGTACACTAGTCATACAAAATCACAAACATCGTTCTTCAAGCTGGGGTAGTTAGAAAGCTGGTGAAAGGATACTTATTATTTCTCCTAAGAAAATGCTGTCAATTAGGGTTATTATTGCATGTATAGTATTGTACTAACATTTTGCTTAACGCTTTTGCTTTGCATGTTTTTACTTATTGTTCATTACCTTACATTAATTTTGTCATTGCATTCATGTACATGTGTTTGTAGAATGGGTAGTGTCCACGGTATCAAAATTAAAAATCTAATTAGTCCGTCAGTTAGATAATGAAAAATATTAAACACGTATTTTTTTTTATATTCTCGTATTAAGTTGCAATACTTAGATAAAATAGCGCTAAGTTTAGGAGTGGGAGGTCTTTACGTCATAACGTACTACAAAATGTGGCACGCTGTGACGTCACACGATATTTGAAATTAATATATCATCGAAAGTATTTAATTTTGTGAGAAAAGAAAAATACGTGTCTAAAATTTTTAATTAATGTACCAGACGGACATTAAAATAAAATTTTGGAAACTTCCCTATTTATGATTAGAGATTTAAAACTGTATGGTGCTCATCATAATTATTTTTGTTTTAGATTAGAATCTTTTGGTGGTCTAGTCATTTTAATGATACATATTCATTAGATATAAGTCCTCTTATAGAATGCCTGACAAAAAAGCAGTCCACTACCTACTTGGTTTGGAAAAAGATTTTGTTTATACCTCTATACTGCATGATTGAACAGTATCCATACATACCTTGTATTAAAACAGTCATACTTTTAATTTGTCAGGACGCTTAATCATTGACAATGTTGCCACTTCAAAAAAATTAATCAATACATTTCTTTGACAGTCTCTACGTGACGACATCAGTGTACCCTGTGCCCTCAATATGTGCTCAGGATCAGATATCCGACTGGTTCGACTCATTAGCAGAGTGCCTGCACTGGAACGTGCGTAAAAAACAAAAACAGATCGATGAACTCAGCGACCTGACGCATTCATCCAGCGATAACCTTGAGGATCTAGATCAGAACCATCACGACGAACGACCTGTCGACACATGACCAACGAGGTTCTAATCAAAGAGTTCTGAGTGTTTTCCTTCCAGGGTATAGGCATACTTTGAGCAAAGAACTTTTTTTAATCGTCTGTAAGCGAAATGCCAATGTTTGTTGTATGTGTGTGTGTGAATATGACGTTTAAAGAGTAACGTTTTATTTAGATGTCGAGTATCGATTACGACATTCGATGTATCTAGTATAATTTCCTAATATTATAAAGGCAAGTTTAGACTAATTTTTTAAACGTCTAAATTGACTCCTTGACAAAAAAAAATATATTCATTCGTTCTAAAAAGTAAGTTTTTAATTTTTATAAACAACGAAATTGTTTATGTGAGAAGTGTTTTGATAATAATAGCTATTATGAGTGTGGATAACGATATGTCGGTGTGGCTGGAAATGTTATTCAGCCATTTATGTGATACTGATATCGATTAAACGTTGTTTTGACATTCCCTTGGACAATAAAAAAGTAAAGTGTTATGTCTTTCTCGGGTATGTTCGGTTTCTGTATTTTTTATTTCCGATTTTTTTCATGGACTGCTCAATCGATTTCTCAAATGAAATTTTATTAAAGTTGGTTCCACATTTTTGTTGCGAATATTTTACAATCTCATTTGTACATAATCGTGTATTTCAATTTATATGGTAAACAACTCTAAACGTGTGAAGGTGCTAACTGCAATAAAACAGTGCCAAGTAAATTATATGTAGGGTGAAACAGTTTAGATAAACCCCATATTAATAATTGTGCTAGTTATAGAGTTGAGACGGTTAAAACGGCCAGTTTCACCCTCGAAAAGTGGTGCTCAACCTTTTTTGAATTGATAAATGGCTTGAGGTCATATCTAATGTAATGTTTAAACTCCTTTTTTATTCAGAGTATGTTTCATTGCACTGTGTGTAATACAATGAAAAAGAGAGAAAAGGTTGGGCATCTCTGTATTTGTCTTTAGGTATAGTGTTCAACTGCGAGCACAAAAAGTAGATACCTAGTAAATAGGTTTTTTACGTTCAAGCTGTTCTTGTATGTATAGGGATTGATTATTATGTGTACAAAATAAATCGCGATATTTTATCGAATGAGACAGCATCATGTCACAGTTATCAAGTTCCTTGGCTGTTTGTAATAATTATCGGCAGCTATAATTTTAAACTGCTTACATTTGCGCCATTGCTTGATAAAAACCGGTTAATTTTCCTTTTTTAAATTTAGTATCTGTGGGTCTAAGCACAGACTTCTTCGTCGCTGCCCTATAACTCCGCTATGTACTTTTACCTGATTGTATTTATACGCTTTTTACAATGTTATGTAACAATATTTATTGGGTAATGGCAATTTTGTTCGCGATGCAATATGAATAATAAGTAAACATTTTATGTTTCTTTGTAAGTACTTGTATTGGTGTTCCATGAGTATAATAAAAAGATTAATTATTATGTATATAGATTTACTATAAATTATATAAATGCGAATTTATGTTTTATTTTATTACTCAACCCTTTTGAAGCGTTACCACAACTAGCAATGCAGTGGAGAAGGCAAAAGAAGTATGTCATACCTAGTTCACTTTTCACTTATGTCTGCATTCCAGAGGCCTAGGCAGAAACCACTGTAGTGGTGGACTGTGGTTTCTGGAATGGATTACACATACATTTTCAGTCCAAAAAAATATAAAATCATAATACGAAGAGTAGAATTTATACATATTTCTTTTTTATATTTAATGGGTCGACGTTTCACCTCTATCTCGCCTGGTGGTAACCGATAATGCGGTCTACGATGGAGCACGTCGTCCCATAAGCAACCTATTCACTTGGGCCTTGAAGACACCCAGGTCATACCCTTCAGGAAATACAGACTTTGGCAAAGAAACTCTTTAGCAGTACGCACATGGAAGTTTGATGCGAAGCGCTTCGTGCATGTGGGTGAGACATCTACCAATTGCTTATTTATTTATTCTTAGCTTCGCTAATTGTCTTGTGGTACGATGATGAACAAGACTAGGGGGAATCAAGTTGTGCAATTCTTCCACACACTCACCGAAATGTATCCGATAGAAAACCGAAAGGCAACCTTACACCTGTGTTCGAGGCTTTGATGCCAAGCCTCCACAAGCTCATCATTGTTGATGAGCTTCTTGGCACGCCTCTCAATGTGCTCTATCTAACGCATCCAGCTGATATTTAGCCGTACTCCATGATGAGAACAGTACTCCATACAAGACTTCACCTGTGCTTGGTACAGGTACCCTCCATAGGATACCCAACTTCCTACCAGCCAGTTGCACTTTTGACTCTATATAGGAGCCAAAGTTGAATGTGGGTGTCAGAGTTACGCCGAGAAGCTCAAGATGAGCAGTTCAGTATGTTCTGTACCTATATTAGAAATGTGTATTGATAAAAAACAATAATTCAATAAACCTCATTACAAGCATACAAAAGGGGTAAAGCTTTTGATCACGTCTGAGGTTGCACAAAAAGAGTATATTGAATGTACTATATATATATTGTTTGTTTTATTTAAGGACTGTTCTGTTTTGTTTTCTTTTTCTTTTATAAATCATTATCATATAATTATTTGAAATGTATAACGCCTTGGTTTTATGATTGTATTGTTATACTATTTAATTGAAATAAATAAATACGATCTAGTTAAAACCGTAATTTTTTCTTACGGTAATTACCGTTTCGATAACTTCATTAAAATGTCAAACTATAAAAAAATCAAAATGTCACTATGATTACTTTGACGTAAATATAACCTACAATTTTTCCAAAAATCTTAATACAATAGATAATTCCTGAAATAAAATGTCTAAAGTACCAAATTTAATAAATTTTATAGCAAAAAGGAGCATCTCCTTGTCAGCTCCTAGGGAAGGCAAGAGAAATTTCAGGAAATTCGTGATCCCTAACAAGAGGGGTTCACGATTACATCGTTTGCAACAGCAGACTGAAAACAGGCAGTTAGACATTGATAAGCGAGGAGTTCGCGACACAGGGTACTATATGGACGGCCGCTTTGTCACTGTACCTGAAATGATACCCGAACTTATCGTGCCTGACTTGAAAGATTTTGATTTGAAGCCGTACGTGTCGTACAAAGCTGCCGATGTTATACAGAGCGAGTTCACACCCGAACAACTGTTTGACGCTGTGTACAGTAAGAAGATAGTTACAGATTTCAAACAAGGAAAGCTAGATGAAGATGGATTCCCCCTAGAGCCGTCAGAGGATGAGAAACTTCAGCCTGATGAAGCCGTCCGCAGAGCTAAGAGAACTGGCTCAGATATATTTTGAAATATTGTAGTACTTGTGTAGTCTAGCTTTAAATAGATAAGGTTATTGAATAAATCCTATTAATGTGTTGTCTAATTGCCTTCTATTATTTCTCTATAGACTAAATAGTATATTATGTAGTTTTCCTATAATACATTATTAGTAGTTAGTTCTTTAAGTAGTTGATATAAAGGAGTACATTTTAGAAGGACCTTCTGTTAGTTGTACAATACAATCGTTTTTCTTAAGTACTTAATTTTCAATAGTCACCACTGAAAATGTTGCATTGCTTGTAAATCATACATACAATGCATTTTGAAATATAATATGTGTTTTGTAAGTACTAAAACAAATTAAAATTATTTAACCACAATTTTGCTTTGCCGAATGTTTCTTAAAATTTATGTGTATTCATTTTTCTGCTAAATAATAATTAAACTGTCAAACACCGAGCAGTCACCGGTGACCGCAACCTATTGTTCTTTAACTCGCCGAGTACCGTCATTATAGACACAATTATAGAACAATAGGTTGCGGTCACCGGTGACCGCTTGGTGTTTGACAGTTTATTTGTGACTATAATGATGGTACTCAACGAGTTAATTATCTTGAAAAAGTCGAAAAATACGAAATACTACTAGGATATTGTGAAGTTATAAACATTTTAATATCATTTAAGTAATAATAACTAGTCTAGTTAGTCTGAGTTGTAACAATAACAATAATTCCATCATTGCTAGACAATCAGCACAAACAAAACCACAATACAGGCAAATTCCTAGAATAAAATAATAATTCTAAAGACTGTAAATTACTTTTACCTGTTCTAAATCTACCAACAGCAAGTACCAATGTAACATTTTCCGAGTTCTATATACTTTCTAAGATTATTCAGACACCACTGACTAACTGTAAGGGGAAATATCGTGGGCAAACCTGAACTATTATAATTTCTAATTATGAGTTTTAAATCGCCAACCCGCAATAAGCAAGTGTGGTGATTAATACTCAAACATTCTCCGTGCGAGCAGAAGCCTTAGGTTAGCAGTGGCCACTTATAAGCTGATGATGATGATGTTCAAAACACAAATTATACCTAGAGTTTGATGTCAAGTAACCACTAAATTGATGAAACAAAGCAACAAAGATGGGCTACCCCAAGGTTCCATCTTAGGTCCGATACATTTCCAAACATGCTCTCACTTTTTCCACAGACGGAACTAGAATAATAATATAATTAAATCAGCAATTACTATAATATTCTTATCAGTACATAGCCCCACAAAGTCTTGGCCCATGACTTTTCTTATCAGAAGGTGCATTTTATTGACTAGAGACTAGACTATTTCATAGCTTCTTTACTTGCATACAAATTGATGATAATAACTATGAGATAACATTATGAACCTTTGAGGCACTTGTGCAAGCAACTATTATCTAGGTAGGATACGTAATAATTTATGTATATCTTATGATTTAACTGAAGGCTAAAAAATAGAAAATTAAAATATTTTAATTCCATGAACTTATGTACCATTAAATTAACTGCATTGCAATTTTCTATCTGATAAAAAACTAGGTGAATAACAATGGAATTGGATTAGTAATGATTTATTCAGGCACATTTTAATTACTTGATTATATCCCCAAAATTTGTTCATACAAAAGTAGTCTCTAAATGTCGGAAATAAGGTCTATAATGGGGTTAATTGTAAGTTGTCACCGGTGACCACTGGGGATTGATCAGTCTAAATACATACACCACCTTTTCAATTATTATTTTACATAAGTGCCACAATGCCAGTCTACATGACAAGGCGCGAATTTCGAAAAACACTAATACAACCCAAGAATAGAACCTAAGACTCCTGTCAATAGTTGTTGGTAGTTGCACAACTTGCGAAGTTGCGACCACACGATAAAAGCAAATAATATAGTGTAGGTAATAAGAACATTACTGATGAGGTGTTTACTCATGTTAATTAATTAAAAATGTGGGTAAATACACACACACATAGATACGTTTATTAATACCTACGTAAATGTAAGGTAGACGTAAATTAATCATATACATAGTCGACGATGCTCATTTCAAGCAAATAGTGAACCATATTGGTCGAGTTATTCAACCATTTTATTTACTGCAAATAAAAAACGTGTATTCAATAAAGTTAAGTGATAACGTATCACGACATCAAAGAATGTTTTTTTAAATGAGATTGATATCGTGTTTTAGTAAATAAATGGTCAAACCGTGGATACTCAAATGATATTCATGAAACAGTCTGCCGTGCCACTAGTGACCCGAACATTATCTACATTATTATAAACTTGTCTACAGTTCAACAAAATCGAACATCCATTTTATCATTTAAACGAGAGATATCATTTCGCGCGGTTGTTTAGCGCCTGCGCAGTTCGTACCGGTTTGACAAATAAGCTAATATACATAGCTATAATGGGAGGTAACTATTCAGCTATGGACCCGATGGAAGTACCCGTGCCCGATATAGCAAAATTATTCGAACGCGATGGTTACTTGAAGCCATACGAAAAGGAAATACGTCGCAGGTAAGTCTTTATTGTTCCTAATTCATTTAAATCTAAGTTTTGAGTGAGTTTAATAAAAGAAAACAGTGTTTTAAGTGATATTATGCTTCAATTTAAGGTTAACATACCGTGTTTACGATTTTCTGACAGCACAGCGCTGAAGCGCTTTATATTTTTTGTCGTACAAGGTTATTATTCTTATGCATTGTGCTTATTTAAAGGTAATCAACTAAAACCTGTTGCTAGAATATTTTCGCTTGAAATTTTCCACAATAAATTATACAATCACCTATTTCTGTGTCAACATTTTAGTTCCTTGATTTTGTCTGTGCTCGTTCAGCGCTGCAAGCGCTTAGGGCACGATATGACGTTCCCAATGTCAAACCTAAGGTCAATTGATATCGGAATATGGGCTAAACTTTTTATATACATACTTTGTAACTTCGATATTTACTATTTGCCACTTGACTACGCCACTGAGTAGGTAATTAAATATTTTATTATCGAACTGTTAACTTCTTAATTAGAATATTTACTTAGGCATACCTACTTAACTAGATAAACATATCTACCTAGTCAATTCACGTAGTATTCTAATTAATTATTAGATACCGATATAGATAGGAACAACCTGAGCGAAGGCTGAAATAATTGACATGCAAATGCAACAGCTAAAGCAGTTACTATTATTAGTAGTAGATAAAGGTTTAAATGCCTACTTAAGTAGGTAAACAACAATTACTGCGCACACTACAGGTACATAATCCTCCTTATGTGCTAGACTTGAGATAGATAAAACATTGTGTTGGTCTCTTTAACCTTAATAATGATAAAATAACAAGCCACTGATTTAAAACACGTGTGTGTAGCGATCACGGAATATAGAATACAATGGAAGTAGCTTGAAACAATATTTCTGCCAGAACCGGTGTCGCCAAACTAATACATTTATAATTTACTCATACTATAAATCGGAAATTAC